AAAATAAAAGAGAGGTGTTCGTGTATGATCGAAGGAGAAATTCGTGGCGGGAGGGGCCAAGCATGCTGGAAGGAAGGCATTATCACGGACTGATATCTTGGAACGGAAATTTGTATGCTGTTGGAGGATATCAAAATTCCTCAGTGGAAGAGTTTGATGGAACAAAATGGGAAATTGTGAAGAAATATGTTGTCAGTGATTTCTGGTTTGCTTGCCAAATGTTGAATTGAGGAACGGTGTTGAAGAAAAGAAAGAATTACCACATATACCCAAGTTGTACGTTTATGGAGATATTATATGAATTTTATGTAAAATCTTTGTTCATTTTACGTCTATTTCTTGCAGACCTTCATCAATATTGGCAAAGTGATTGCAGAAACGTCACCTTTGTGGTGCGCGAAGAGCGATGTAAGGTTGACGAGAATTTGCATGAAAGTGATATTTCCGTTTTGCATCCCAAGCCGCATGTTCATATCAATATTACCTAAAATCCATGTAAATTTTTCTCCAAATCAGCCGGATGGCATTGTATGATTTTTTTTTTCTGTCTCGTCTTTTACGGAATGAGCGCATGCTTCCTGATTTCATGCCATAATTGAAGCCGGACGACCTCGTTTGGGAAGCAATCGACGGTTGAACATATGACGGCTCTTCATGCCAAGCGCATCGAGAAAGGAACTTCGGATTTCAACAGAAGTTTGCCTCATCATCCGAGGACATGCCTTTGTGGTATTGAGTTTGCAAATTGGCGAACGGAAAGGGAGGGGAGGCAACTTCCACGAAACAACTTCCAAGGTAAGAAATCGTTCTTAAGAGGCAACTTTGTCCAGGGAGTCTCTAGAAACCACTGGTTCGAAAGAAGGAGGGATCATGGTTCAATTCTCATTGTGACTTCATGAGAATATTAATGAAATGGAGGAGATGGAAGTGAATATCAATTCGCACGGTGAGTCTCATTTGAATACTATTAGCCGGAAGTCCAGAAGTTTCCTGTAGTAATGTAACGGTGCAGGATGATGGCTGCACCCGATGGTACCGATCTTAAATATAATAAGAAAAATACAACGTGTTTCGATGATAATATAAATTCTGTTACGGTGATGAACGCTGGGATTATCCCTTGGGCTTACCGCGGCAAAAGTCGTCTGGATGAAAGCAAAGAAGCTGTCCTGCAGTCATTTTTTTCTCATTCACTTCTGCACCTCCAGACGAGTTGGAACAAAGTCCACCATGTTACGAGAGTTTGTACATATAATTAAATAAGGGATTGCATAAAAGCCCAATGACAGAAGTACTTCAAGCGGAGAAACAGCAATTACGTACGTTGTCCTGTTTTAAACAGTTTCTCGTGGAAGAACAGAGACTTGGCTGAGACACAATTGCCCATGGTAG